TGGGATCCTCAACGGTAATGCCGAACATCTTACTGAAGTTCTGGCCCAGTCCGTGGGATGTACCACCCTGGATACCACGGCCAGTCGCGGGGATGTAGCCTTCGACAGTGGTGGTGTAGCTACCACCGGCGAACTTCTCCTTCTCGGTCTTCTGACCTTTAACGACAGGCACGGCAAGAAGCTCCTTGTAAATCTTGGCATAGTAGTCAAGGATGCTCAGGACTTCCTCGCGGGCAGCACCTTCAGTCAGGTGAGCGGTGTGACCCCTGCACATTGTTAGTATGTCATTTTGAACAGAAAAAGGTGTCGAAAACATACTCTTGCCAAAGGAACTCTCGTGACCGGAGTAGGGGTTGAGGGTGCTTGAATTCCCATCTCACTGTGAATGTTAATAACATTTCGAGGATATGGAGAAAGAAAGGGAGCCGCACCGACTGAGTTCCACTGGTTGAGACGAAGAGGGAGGTCACGGTGACTGCGAATCCACTTGGCGTAGTAGGGGTACATCACAGTCTCCGAAGTAGGGCGAATGGCAATCTTCTTCTCGAGGGGGTTGAGCCACTGAAAACAAGTGTCAGTGTCAGTGTAGTTCAATTGAAGTATAAAAGGTATTATAGGGCTAAGGGACGGCATACGCATGCGTGACCCAGGCGACTTCAGCGGCAAAGCCCTCAATGTGGTCCTTCTCGCGCTGCAGGACATCCTCGGACACAAACAGGGGGAAAGAGCAGTTCTTGACACCCATTCCCTTAATGGCCTTGTTGAAGTACTCTTGGATCTCCTCCCAGATGAAGAACAACGCAGGCTTGAGAATGAAGCAACCGGAGACATCATAGTAGTCCAGCAAGTCACCCTTGGTGAGAACCTGCTGGTACCAGCCGGAGAAGTCCTCCTCCTTCAAAACATCAATACCGATCAAAGCGGCACCATCAACCTTCTTCTTGGAAGCCTTCTTGGCCTCTGGTTTGCCGATACCCTTCTCTCCCTTGTTGGAGGCCTTCTTATCAGCCTTGTCGGCCTTCATTTTCGCGAGCTTCGCGGCCTTCTTGGCGGCATTCTTTGACTCCTTCTCCTCGGCGGGGGGTTTTGAGTGCGGTCAGGCAAGGTCTGGGGGGCAGCGCCCTCGAAGGCGGGGGTGTCGCTGGGGTTCTGGCTAGTCATGGTGAAGAAGCAATTGTCTGACTAGACAATGAGGAAACCCGAATCGAAAGTAGGATTGCAAGCAAGCGAAATCGGGGTATGACTCCTCTCCGTAAAGTGGGATGCGATATCGAAAATTACCAGCACACCGCCTCGGCAGAACTTTTAGTGCCCACAGCAACCCCCCCGAAGCCAGACAGCTCTGCCATCGCACTCCAATAGCTCATATTACATCGTCTGTTTTAAATATGGCAGGCATTTTTGAGGCACCGCGGAATGCGGACACACTCTGTGGGTTTTATCTGATTGATCGTCGCTTTTCGTTGCAATAAACTGACCAGTCTCGCACAGTCTTGGGTGGGCAGAAAATCACCGGTGCTGATGTCCGAGAGCAGAATGGTATGTTGAATTATTGATGATTTTGTTGTTGTTAGGGGTTGATAGCTGATTCCTTGCAGTTCTGGCAACACAGGCGATCGCCAATGTCATCAGAACCTCCTTCGGTCCGTCCGGTTTGGACAAGATGATGGTGGACGACATAGGGGTATGGAAAGATAACCCCCGTAGAGTTTGGCTGCAGCTTCTAACATCTGGCAGGATGTGACCGTGACGAACGATGGCGCTACTATTCTATCTCTTCTTGATATTGAGCACCCTGCGGGCAAGATCCTCGTTGATCTGGCCCAACAACAGGACAAGGAGGTACGGGCCTCCACAACACACCCACATCTGAGACACGCACGCTGATAATATCGATTTCACTAGGTCGGAGATGGTACTACCTCGGTTGTTCTGATCGCCGCTGAGCTTCTCCGGAGAGGCAACGAGTTGATGAAGAACCGTATACACCCTACCACAATCATCAACGGATACCGAATTGCCCTGCGCGAGGCCGTCAAGTATATGAATGAAAATGTTACGACTAAGGTGGATAATATCGGAAAGGAAAGCTTGGTCAACATTGCGAAGACTTCCATGTCCAGCAAGATCATCGGTTCCGATTCCGATTTCTTTGCGAACATGTGTGTGGACGCAATGCTGCAGGTGAAGTCTGTGAACCAGAGAGGCGAGACCAAATACCCAGTCAAGGCCGTGAACCTGCTTAAGGCCCACGGAAAGAGTGGCACCGAGTCCGTACTTGTGGATGGTTACGCGCTGAACTGCACTGTTGCTTCCCAGGCTATGACAACCCACGTGGCCGACGCTAAGATCGCCATTCTCGACATGAACCTGCAGAAGGAGCGGATGAAGCTTGGTGTTCAGATTACAGTGGAGGATCCCGATCAATTGGAGAAGATCCGTCAGCGCGAGTCTGGCATTGTTATGGAGCGTGTTGATATGATCCTGAAGTCTGGTGCCAATGTCGTCCTCACGACTAAGGGCATTGACGATATGGTTCTCAAGCTCTTCATTGAGAAGGGAGCCATGGCAGTCCGTCGCTGCAAGAAGGAGGACCTGCGCCGTATTGCTAGGGCCACCGGTGCTACCATGATCAGCACCCTTTCCGACCTCAACGGTGATGAGAAGTTCGAGGCATCGAACCTTGGACACGCAGAGTCCGTTTCGCAAGAGCGTATCTCGGACGACGAGTGCATCCTGATCAAGGGTACCAAGATTCACACTGCGGCTTCCATTATTCTCCGTGGTGCCAACGAGTACAGCTTGGACGAGATGGAGCGCTCTGTGCACGACTCTCTCTGTGCCATCAAGCGCACTTTGGAGAGTGGAAGCATTGTTCCCGGCGGTGGAGCCGTGGAAACCGCACTTCACATCTACCTCGAGGAATTCGCTGTCACAGTGGTAAGTAGTATTGTTCGCTGTTCCTTTCTTCTCTATGTCAGTCTCTAACATTTACATTAAAGGGATCCCGCGAGCAACTGGCCATTGGCGAGTTCGCACAGTCTCTCCTTGTGATTCCCCAGACGCTGGCAGTCAACGCAGCAAAGGATTCATCTGAGCTCGTTGCTCAGCTCCGTGTCCGCCACGCCCTGTCACAGCGTGTGCAGGACGGTGATGCTAACGAGGAGGAGAAGGCCATCGCTAAGAAGAAGACTTACCGCAACTACGGTTTGGATCTGACGAAGGGACGGGTTCACGACAGTCTGAAGGCCGGTGTGCTGGAGCCCAGCATGAGCAAGGTCAAGCAGCTCAAGAGTGCTGTCGAGGCTTGCATATCCATCATGCGCATTGACACGATCATCAAGCTGGACCCCGAGCAGCCGCAGGATGATGGCCATGGCCACTAAGCCTGAGCTCATTTTGACTACCCCAATCCCAAAAAAAGGCAGTAATATGATGTGACATAGATGATTAGCAGTAGTAAATTCTCATTTATGCTGCAACTGCATATGAATCAATTTCTCTTCCAAGTAGATACATGAAATTCGTAGCCCTAAACAACCCGTTCCTCACTGCCGTTTGGCAGCCATCAACTTCCGGTATTCCTCAACAATATTCCTCCGCTCACCAGCCAACTCCTCACGGCGTCTCAAACTTCCAACCGCAGCAGGGATATTGGCAACATCAACCTTAGCTCCACCGCGCACCTTAAAGATCTCCCGAGGTTTAACCAATTGAGGCGGCGCCTTCGCAACCTCAAATGGATTCTTCTTCCGCTCCTCGTCACGCTTCTTCAGCTTCGCCCAAGGATCAGGATCATCATCCTCGCTATCATCATCCCCATTAGCATTCGACCCCTTCTTCTTGTTTTTCTTCGCAGCCTTCTTCTTTCCTCCAGCAGCCTCAATCTCCCACTCCTTCCACTGCCGCAACTCAACCTCCATCTCATCTTCCCGCTCTTCCCGCTCCTCCTGCTCTTTCTCTCGGATCTTAGCGTCATCCGCACGCCACCCCTTCTGCAATCGCAGCAGATGCTTCTCATGCTTCGTCCGCTTGTGCTGCTCCTTGTTCTTGGCGTCACCAGTCTTGACAGTCTTGGTCATCTGCGACAATGGCATTTCGCGGTCAACGCGGGCCACGAACTCAGCCAGACGCTCGCCAGGCATGATCTTGGGCATTTCGGCCTTCTCCTTGGCGGCTTTGGCTTTTTGCGTCTCCGCTGCCTGCGCGGTCTTCTTTGATGACGCTGCTGCATCTTCTGTGGCATTGCGCTTGCGCTTCCGTTCGCCAGTCTCTAGTCCTGAGGGGGCCCGTCGACCTGTCTGCTGGTATAGCATTAGGCGGCGGAACGCTTTCGGGGTGTCGTCTTCGGTGACATTCTTGAGGCGGTGGGTGGGTGCTTTGTTGGCGCTCTGGTTTTGATCTTTCTTGTTGACGAGCTTTTTGCCGTTCTTGCCTAGCTTGGGCTTGACTGCATCGCGGACTGGAAGTGCTTTTGCGATCTCTGTCGGTGGGAGATTGAAGTGCCTGGCGCGAGGGGAATCGTTAGTTTGGGCTTTGAATAGATTTTGTAGACTTCTAACACTCACTCTGTATCGGCTTCGCCGCGTCTCTTGTGTTTGTGAGGCATTTTGGGTGGTTTTGTAGTGGAAGATTGGAGGTTTGGAGTTGTCGGTGGAACTTTTTTTCATCGAGGTTGGCCTTATCTTATCGCTGTATATGGCCCGGGGGCGACCTCAACGTACATCCGCGGACATTTCTACTTCACATTGCCTTTGGAAATGTTTAGTTTATTGAGACTCGAGGAAGATGTTTTGCAGTGATTGGACTCTCAATGAATGAGTGACATGTTTGTTTCAGTCAGATAATACAAATAAGCCCGAAATAAAGGGTATGCTACGCTAATTAATATGCCCTCCCAAACACCAGTAAAATGCCCACAGGCAAAAAAAAAAAAAAAGGAAACATCCAAACACCTCGGAAAATGCAAAACGGTAAAAAGCAAAAGAGTCGCCGGGGAATCATTCATCTTCGTCGTCAATTGAGTCTTTCATATCAGCCCAGCCACACATCCAGCGTTTACCCTCAGTTTCACCACCGTTTCGGAGCTCGCGAGCCTCGGGTCCCTCACGCCAGCATCGAGCGGAGTAGTCGTCGCTCACAGTAATGAGGTCACCAGATGGCGTCCAGGACAGGCCAGTGACCTCTTTCTGATGGCCTTCGATGAGAGGGGTGCCTGATTGGTGGATTGGGATAGTATCTTCGAGACGGCCGGTCAAGCCAATTCCAGAGTTGGTGCGACGAAGTCCTGGACGGGCAGTGAAAAGGGAAGTCCTGCTAGGCAGAGATTCGGCTGGTGCTTTCACGGGAGAATTGAGGTATCGTTCATCGGTAGGGAAAAGAATGGGGCAGTGGTCGCTGCTCCCAGTAGCTAGCATCTCCGGATGATCCTGGGTTGCTTTGCGTACAGCCAGTTTCACATAGAATGAGGAAATTTGAAGACGAGGGTGGCGGAAACCATAGAGAGGCCCAAGACCGTCCTTGTCGGAGCCTCCAGTCCTTCGTGGACGGTTGTTGTTGAGTGAAAGTTCAGGAGCATGCCCGAGAATTAAGTGTGATGTCGAGTACGTGTAAACGGTGTTGTCTCGGCAAAGTGTGTACAAGCGTGAACCATCTCCTCCGAACGCCATGGAAGTCAGGCCAAAGCGTCGATACTTCAAATGGCTTTCTGGCTCTTGTGTCGTAGATAGAGGGATGACGGGTCGGCCACGACGATTGTTATGTGCTGTTCGCAAGTCCCAAAGTCTGACACTTGCGCTAGCCTCAGAAGCCGTAACAAAAAGATTTTCGCGGCCAGGCGAGAGAAAAGCGAGGGAAGTAACAGTGATGTCGGTTCGGCCAAATGGTGGCGCATCATTTTTGTCCACAGCCGGTTTATGAGAGGTTGTATATGCATGAGCACCTTCAATAGTATTCAGAACGTGTGGGTATAGCATCTTTGGAGGTGCAGTGGTCGCGGCGTTTTCGGATTCGGATTCCAGGGAGCATTGAACTTGAAGCGCAGGCCGTTCAAACCCTTTGCAGCGGAGATCCCAAATATTGACATTTCCATCCCGACTGCACGTAGCAAGAACCTTATTGTTGGACGCCGGTTGGAATTGGACACGCTTAACGGAGGAGGAGTGATTCGATAAGCAGTGGATGGGTCGTTGTGTTGTCATGTCAATAATAAGAGACGTTTGGTCGCCAGATGCGGTGGCTAGTAGCATGTCGTCCGATGAGAACTCGAGGTCCATGATCGAGTTCATGTGCGGACGGAACCCAAGATATGCGTTAGTGAACCCAGCATCTTCGTCAATCGATGAATCCAAGAGTCGAATTCCACCCTCTTCGTCGCCCACCGCAACAAGAGAATTTGCTGTCCATTTGTCAGCATGTATAGGGAGCAGCCAAGTGAAACATGACTTACTGTTACATGAAGCATTACAGAATGGGAGGGCCAATGGACCCTCCGATGCGTAGCTATGGCAGATGTGATGGTCACTCGGTTGCGAATAGAAGTTGGAAGTAAGATCTTGCCAGCCTAGAGAGGGTTAGAGGTGTACAAGAAAGCCACGGGGTGAATACTAACCAACGCCAGAGTTGGATCGCAATGTTATTTTATTTGCCTGAGCCCCCGTTACAGTTCGCATAAACAAAGCACCAGATGATTGTAATGCCTTGGAGCGGCGCACAGGGGCCACCGGGGGTTTCGCTTGGGCGAACTCGGTGGTGCTAATGCATCAAGATGGATGTCGATATTAGGAATTTTGATATCTTGTTCCACATCCTGCGTCGGAGATCGGACACGGACTCTCTTCAGAGGCGAGGACTGCGGAGAGACAACTGAGGAGAATGAGTTCTTTCTTTTCCTGCTCGGGGTACGAATGAAGTCTTCCGGCAAGCCATCGTGAGGACTTCTGGTGCTGCCAGCCTTGGATGTTCTCGAAAAGGCCGGCCCCAGACGATTCACCGCGGGCGATGTTAGTGCCCGTAAGGCCTGACGACTGGTTGATGGTGTGATAGAAGTATCCCCAGTTGGTAATAAAGAACGCGGGGTAAAGAATCGACGGAATGACCGGGGCGTTACAGTTGGTGGCTTTCTAGGCCTGCGACCATCGGAAGCAATAGACGGTGGGGATGAGGGTGGCTCTGGAGGAGGAAGAACAGGTTCTGACCGGGGTACCTCCGGTAGATTGAAGGTGTCCATTGTATGTTTAAAATATAAAAAAAAGAAAGGAAAAAAAAAAAAAAAAGGCTATGAATGCATTGGTGGCTGGAAAGCTAAAGGGGGGATGAATCGGGGAAGTTGGATCTTTTTTTCGTGTCGCGACGTGACGCGATCGTGTCAAGGCATCTAAGGCATTTCACCTCCACATTTCATACCTTCAATCTAATTTCTCTCTAACCAAGTGTTAGCTTGGATTAATCCCTAGGCTAACTATTTTCCTAGTTCTCGTCTCAAAACGCGTGAAATCACTAAGCATTCAGGAAGATCTTGATGTCAACACTGGCCAATTTCGGATATTCATCAACAATGGCGCAGTGCATTCCCCTCAACATTTCCTCCAAAATACCAACTACAGCTATCTCTCCTTTTACCGCTGAACTAGGGTTAAAGTAATAATATGAAGAGCAAAACTTCCTAGCCAACGGAAAGCCCGACAGTCGCTCGCAGATTTTGATCCATTTTAAAGACCAAAAGTGGTGGATCAAAGTGACTTTCAATATTAGAATGGCACAATTTCTTCTTTTCCCCATGCCGGGCCAGAGCAAATCAAAACAAAACGCGAACGACGAAAAGAATTCCAAGACTTTTGTCAAATTGATCGATTTTGATCCCTTGGCTCTTCCCTAGATGACACTGTGACTGAGGTGATCTTGAGCGAACACCCGAAAACAACCAATCCTATAAATCTGCATCACGAACTAGAAGATAACAATCGATTTTCAAAGCTTGAAAACCTGCGGTTCTATATTCGGACCCATTGAGAGTGACTTATCCGCCATGTCTCCAATTTCCGTCTTTCCGCGCTATCAATATCACAGAATTGATAGAAGAGGACGAAATCACCGATGGAGGGTTCCGCACAGGGGTGACGCAACTCCCTATATCCTAAGGGTGGTCAATCGCCCACTTACCACATGATTCAGATGTTATCCAACAAGAACTAGAGAATCTTGAACATTTCAAAGGCGTGACAGGGATTGTGCAGCCAGCTGGGATTTCGGTGTTCACTAACCCATACGCGACCTCCCCAAATGTCGAACAAATGGTTGTCAACGGTATTCTATGAGAATTCTATAGCGGTGGTTCCTTGCGTGTTCTAAATGAACAGCGTGTGGGTGAATTCAGCTGGGAACGATGGGCTGTCCAAATTGGAAATGCTCTAAGCATTATTCACTGCGCAAAGAAAACCATATGGATCTGAAGCCCTCGAATATCGTTCTCGACAATAATGGCAATGCGGCCCTCGTTGATATTAGCGGTATCGGCGAAGTAACACACCAGTGGCGTGCCCCAGAGATACGGGATGGAATATCACCCTTGGATCTTCCATTCCAAACTCGTCGATTGAATGATATTTGGGCCTACGGAAAGATTTTAACAGAAATTGGGTTGAACGCTGGGAACAGTCCCTTTGCGAGAACTCTGAAGTGGGTGGCGGGTCATTTGACCCAAGAACTTACTGACATTCGGTGGACTCTGCCTGAGGGAATATCTCAATTGGAAAGGTCTGCATCAGTTGGGCCTGATAGCTTTTTATAACATCGGCTTGGGACTACATGTCTAGCTCTCAACTTGGATGTCTTCAAGTGCTCAGCGAAAGATAAGTACATATTTTATTCACTATATTTTTATTCTTTTCACTGGAGCTTGAACCAGACCTACTTCTTTTGAAAGTATAACAGAGCTAAAACACTACATCCAGAACAGATGAATGCTGTGGAAGTAGAACCCAGTCGTCAGGAACCCAACAATGCCGCGATACTTGTGAATAGGAGTGGACTTACCGAGAGACACGTTCATATAGTAATATCCCACTGTTTGTGTGAGAGAACCTGTAAGGATTGGCCCGATGAACATGCTGAATGTCCAACTCATATTGGTTAGGGAATAAGCCCGAGAGAATCCGCCATTAGGGCCGAATATAGCAGGTTGTGTTTCCTGCAACTCTATTATCGCACCTAAGAGACGGATCAGGTAAGTCGTGGGCATTCAAAACAATGTCTTTTCGATGCTAATAAAGGGACATCATGTTCAATTCCAACTTACTGGTCATCTCCATAATTCCGCAGCCTGTGAACAGTGTCCTAGCAAACCCCAACCCAAGCATCGCGGCCATGTAGACAGTTTGGCCTCTTTCGCCAGAGCCAATAAATGAGAAACCATCCGGTCCTGGCGTACCCAGGAGCCAAAGTAACAACGCTGTAGCTAGTAGCCCGACACCAGACGGTATCTTCGTGCCAAATCGATCTTTCATCCACCCGGTGAGTGGAGAAAGGAAGAGAGTTGGTAGCTGAAGTAACAAAAACATTAAGCTTACCCGGGGAGTGTCCCAGCCAAAGGTTCGTGTAACATACAGTGGCAAAGTAGTGTCAATGGCAACTAATGTAAGACCATTGGTAGCATGGCAGGCCATGGCAGCGAGAGCCCGGGGGTGACTGAGAACGACCCTGTAGAAATTTCGAGCTGAGGATTCAGAGGAACGTGGGAGTAGTGTTTCGACCTGTTTTGTATGGGTTCCTTGCTCACAGTCGTCATTTGCAGATGGAGGAATAAGAGCACAAGTCTCATCCGCTGAGATAATTTCCGGCACTAAGTCCTCCACATCTTCGACTCCTTTCGTAGGACTTTCGATCATGATCAGCCGCATGATCATATCAATGACCAAAATGGCGATTGCAGTCAGCCATGTTGGCCAGTATCCAATCAGATTAATCAGTGTCCCCGAAACCATAGGGCCAACCAACAGCCCGGAGATGAAGAACGCAGATATTGTGGATATAGTTTGAGACCTATTCTCAGATCCCACGGTATCGGCAATTGTTGCATAGCCAATAATCCATACTGCATTGCCAAAGATGCCCTGAATAACACGCCCGAAGAATAGCACCGGTACTGTTGGGGGTGCATATAGGTTAGTCGTGCTCAATGTAGCAATATTAAGAAACACGATTTCATACGTGAGGGGGCAGCTGCAATGATAATCGTTCCCAAAATCTCTCCTCCCAATGAGACCAGTAATGGTCCCTTTCGCGAGGGAATCCTGTCGGCAAAATTACCGATAAATGGCCCTGATGCAAAGCACACCAAGGCGTGGGTTGAAAGTAAAGCCGATGTAGTTGTTTGTGTTTTTGTTGGATCGAGCTGAAGGCGATCCTCGAGCATGAGCTGCAGAATGGGTATGATGAAACTGTATAAGAAGTTTTCTATTAAATGTTAACATGTGCGGGATACTATATGGCAAGGGCTGAGCAAACCCGAGAACAAAGCTATTGTAACGCAAGAGACGATGAAGAAATTCGAGGAGCGCCATCGATATCCCAGAGGGTTTTGTCCACCATAATGCATTGTGTTTTGAGAAGACAAATGCGATACTTTAATATAAAATTACCTCCTGTCTCGGAGAATTACCAATGAGAATGGAGGAAGCTGGCAAAGCAAGAGGAAACGTTCGAGTTATGAACAATGAAAATATTAAAACAGGCCTAATTTCCTCAAATTGCTTTATATCTGTAGACGCCATTGCCCTTAAAAGTAGTAAGAAGTGGGGTGGCTAAGGCAAGGGGATGCATGGTAGGCCATGTACGGAGTAATCCAATTGATATTGGTACGAACACATGTTCCTGTTTCTTCCAGGCTACCTTGTAAAGGGCAAAATAGGGATATGATCGTCAGTAGATTAACTAGATATAGTCGTCAGATCTTTGCAATAGATCTATTAATTCTCTCCCTGTAGGAGCAGGAACCCAATCTTGCCCATTCTATTGCAGTTATTATCAGTAGATGTAGTTGAAAATAGTTATAGGCCAATGTATTCCAGGGTTGTACCTAGGTAGACGCAACATTTCCATGTATAATTCGTGAGTCATAAATGCAGAGACCTGCAATGCTCACACTAGTACCATGTGACAAGTGATATTTTGCAGAAAAGAAGCGATCGATATGCACGGTCGTCAGCTCCTCAGCTCCAGCTCTTGTTTTGCCAGGAGTTGTCACAACTAAGGTCTAATTTTACACATAAAGGAATATTCAAATTTATAAAGAAAGGTCGACATATCCTAAGTCATCTTACTCTGCCCAAAGGCCTTGTACCCCGATAAAGTCACCGATAGAGTCACGAGTGGTTCAGTCCAGCCAGCCAGCAGTACTAAACAAAGTCTAAGACGATGCGGAGGACAGTACGGAGTACGGAGTACAATTCTAGCAGTAGCTTCTCCATGTTCACTAGAATTTTTATTGCTGCCATGGTCGCTACAATTTATCCGACAAAGAAACGTATTAAAAGAAGTATGATGGAAAAGGATCACTGTATCAGCCTAATGCGACGTAAGCAGCCCTGTTGTCGTAAGCACATTCTTGATAGGATATGGATATATTACCTTGCCCACTTCATTTATTTCTAGATATTAGTTAGATAAGAAAAGTCGATGTTGCCATTTTGACTATCAATGTAGATATAGATCTCGCCAGGATTTTAGGGCATGGATTTGTCCTTGGGATTCAGGCACCAACTTGCTGACTCATGACCCCATGTCTGTACACCGCCCATAAGGTTCTGCCGCATCCGCGGAATTTTTTTTATCTTTTCTCTTGAGGAATTAGACCGCAATCTGCAACTGCAAGATTCGGTTTTGCCAATTTAAGAATGGCGCCAATCAAGCGCAAGGGGAATGCCCCCGAAGAAAACACTTCCCGCCAGCCCCAAAAACGTGCTAAAGTTGGAGCGGAAGAGGTCAAGAAAGACCATAATAAGTCAAACGATGCCACATCCACCGCTGGGAAGGCTTCAGAACTTTCTGTTCTGCGCGACGACGAACCCTCGTTCCCTCGTGGTGGCGCAAGTGTTCTGACACCATTGGAACGCAAGCAAATTCAGATTCAGGCCAACAAAGATGTCTTGTTCGAGCAGAAAGCATCTGGAAACCAGAAACCCTCCAAGCAGACGCCTTCCAAAGAATTTGCCGACGAAAGCGACAATGATG